CTATTTTGAAATAAATTTGACAACTTCTAAGAAGTACCTTGGAAGACAAATTAATGAAACTAACTCTGGAAGAAATACAAAATTTGAATAGCACCTATTAAAGAAAGTATATTCCTAGCTTGAAAACCTACCTACCTAGGTTACTCTTTTGATGGGAGTAGGGGCATGTTGAGAAAAAGGTAGCTATTATATACAGCAGCCACCCTAAATTGGAGGGAAATCTATCCGAATGCATTCTAAGATTTTATGGGTTAACAATCCTATGTAAACACTGAACTGAGAAAATGATGCAAGTGTAACATTTGCTATATTGATAAATCTTTTTAAACTTTTTCCTTTCTGTCTGGCTTTGTGAAATCTTCACTAAAAACTACTGTATGATTAGCTTTTCCTTTTGGGTTACAGACCAGACTCAATGCCTAAAGTAAAGGAGTGACACAAGCTAGTTGGAAAAGGCAATGTTGAGCAAACTTTATAGAGAAATTATGCTTTGGGGGGGCACAGTGCCAGAGACTGAACCCAGGGCCTCATGCATGCCAGGCAAGCACTTTACTACTGAGTACAACCCCTGCCTTGACTCTTGTTTAACAAGGTAGTCTTTACTGGGGTTTAGCCTTTTGTTGCCCTGGGTAGCCTTGTTCTTAATGTGCTAAATTACAAGGGTATGTTTATTTTTAACATTAGAGACAGGTTATTTTCACTGTTTTATTTTTGCATACATATTTGGTTAAAAAAATCAGTGAATTTCTAGGCCCAGCTCAAGTAACTGAAGAAGTTTAATGAGTAGTTTATATTGTATAGACCCAGGGTATGTTGTAAACAGTGTGAAGTAAAAGGGGAAATAAGGGCCAGGGGTTTGGCTCAGTGGTTCTGCCATCTGCCTTGCAGGCGCAGGGTCCTAAGTTCGATCCCCAATACCACAAAAAGGGGAGGGGGATAACATTTTTCTAAAGACAGACTTGGAAATTCCAATCCAGTATGTTAAGATGTTTCCTTTCTCTGGTAGCAGGTTGATTCATTCCTGGCTGCTAGGGCACCATTCACAGGTATGGCCATGAAAGCCAGGGTACTGACCACCAAAAACTAAACCAACCAGTCCATCCTGTGTCATGGTTCAGGTTTCACAGTTCAAATCACATGCACTCAGAAGTAAACTTCCAAAACTTGTATGAGAGAGATTTGCTGACAAAAATGGGATTACTGCCATTTGTAAACCAGCAACTATACAAGTCTGTCACATGCGAAAACAGACTATTAGGCCACAGAAAGCAGTATTAAGTCCAGGATATGTTTGTTTATCAGGTAGATTCCTGTTTGTTTCTGGAAGTTGGTTAATGTTTCTGGCTATGGTATCAAGTAAGTTTTCCTTGTATTATCTGGTTTATGATCTTCCATCTTGAGCCTTAGACTCACCTCCCAGCAGCCAGTACTTCCTGTTCTTCCACCAGGCTGGAGCTCAACTTTTGCTGATTCCCCAGGGCAGCTATCTTTGGCTGACACGTGACTCAGCCCCCCAAAACATAGTTTAGAGCTGTATTAGTTACAATGCCTGGTGCTAGCCCTGGCACAGACTAAAATTAATGGAACTCAATGAATTTTTTTTCAGGTATGCAACAAATAAAGTTTAATAGTATAGATGAACAG